CAAGGATAAGGATAGCAAGGATAAGGTTAAGGATAACAAGGATAAGGTTAAGGATAAGGACAAGGATAAGGACAAGGATTAGGATAGTAAGGATAAGGTTAGGGCCAAGGATAAGGTCAAGGCTAAGGTTAGGGCCAAGGTCAAGGTCAAGGATAAAAACCTTAAGGACCTCCTCCTTAATCAAAAGGATAATGGAATCAAGATTCAGAATAATAAGAATAATGTGTTGAAGTTGAAGTTACTTGTGCTGAAAATGAAATAGTTTTCAAAGATAGATGTGTTGCTTAAACATGTGAAAATTTAGAAAAAGTTTAAAGTAAATAAGAAGGTGGAAAGAAGAAGCTTCCAATGAAATTTGATGGTAAGGCTGATTTCAACGAGAATAAAGATGTTGTTGTTTAATTGATTTTCCCTGATAATAAAGATAAACCTCTAATAAAATCAGATGGAAATGCAAATGCTTGTATAGAAAGATCAATCTATCGATATAGACCTAGTTTTTTAAGTGAAACATTAGATGATTCAACAGTAACAAGTAATTATGATGATGATAAAAAATTACGAATTTGGGAATTCACAATTTCAAATTCAGAAATTGATAGTAAATTATTCAAAGATGAATAAACAGACAAGATTGTATATACAGGTTATTATTCAGTGAAACTAACTATCTAAGAAAAAAAATTAGTTTAATTTTTCTTCACATTCTTTGTAGCAATAGATTTGGATGGAAATGTCTTAGCAGCTCAAACCTAATCTGAAGCTTAAGATGATACTCCTGCTTGTGCAACTGAAGATAATTGTGTTTCAAGAGCAGAAACTGAAGTAGGATTTTGCAGTGACTAAACCTGTTAAACTTTAGTTGAATAACCTTAGGTCTTTGCTGGTCAAAATTTCTTTGTTGTTTAAAGAGTCAAATAAACTGGATTTGAATAATGGAAAGTTGGTGACGCTGATGTTACTATTACTGGTGATGGAGTCAATAAAAAATTAAAACCAACATAATAATAATAATAACCTGGTTAAACTATTTATACTCTTAATGTTGATATTCTAGCTAATAATGTTGAATTCTCTGTTAATGGTAAACTTTAAAATCCAACTCGTCGATTCAGATTTCTAGAAGATTCTACTACTATTTCTGATGGTACTGAAGTTTCATCTGCTAAAGCTGTTGGTTCTACTACTTTAGAATGTATTAAGAAGGATGCTAATTCTTCATGTCCAACCGCTGAAGAAGCTAAATTATATAACAAACCAGATTGTGGAATTATTGGATAAACAGAATGTGAAAACGATTATGGATATCAATGGTCTACACTTTTGTTGGTCATTATTTTCCTCATATCATGATTTATTATTTACAATTAATATCAAACAGTTTAATTCAAATTATTTGATATTCTATTATTTTAAGATATTTTCAGTTTAAAGACCTTTAATAGTTTATATCTATCATTATTTGATCATATTATCACCAGTAGAAATCATTCTAGTGTAGTGGTTTTCTGTATATATTTCTACTATTAGCATAATCTAATAAAACTTATTTCGAATATTATAAGTTAGCACAACATTCCTGTTCCTCTCTAATAATTTTTTATTACAAAATTTGTTTTACGTAATTAACAAAATATAAATAATTTAATTTAAGTTTTAAATCTAAAATCAGAAACATGACTAGAATTAGATTACCGTTAGACGATTATGTCAATTATTTCAGAAATTTAATTAATTATCATTATAAATAATAAAAATCAATTATTAAATTTGTATAATTTACTTAGATCAAATATAGAAATGAATTTAAAGTCTTTTTAATTTTAATTTAATAATTTTAGAATTTAAAGCTTTTAAAATAGTTAGAATAACTAGAATAAAATGGTAATTATAACAATGAAAAATTCAAAAAGAAAAAAAATGATTTCTCCAATATTTAATTAGAAACCCTCAATTATTTCAAGGTGAAAATAACAACTACCTTATATTAAATTAAATATATGCTATCAAATTATAACATTTAATAAATCAAAAAATAAATTTTAGAATATATTTGTTGAAATATTCATTTGACATATCATTCTTTTAATTTTTCATTGTAAAAACATTTCCTTATTTCAATTATTTCAGATTGATAATTAGAAATCAGCAGAAATTCACCATTTGAACTCATAGTTCCAAAAATTTTTCCTTAACATACATTAGGATCAAAACTAATGACCTATTTTAATTCAAAATCATATTTATTATCTTCCTATTCTAAATCAATAATTTAATTATTAATTATTTTTATTACAACAATCTATGAGCCATTCTTCATAACTAGAAGATCATTATGTGCACAAAAATTACAAAAAAATATATTCTCGCAAATTTATCCTTTTCCTGGCACATCTAATTCCTTCTTTTTTTTATAAATATTATTAGCATCAATTTAATAAATAATGAATTTATCGATCCCAGCAATATAAGCTTCTCCAAATTATTTCAGATTCAAACGAGCTGGTTAATAAATAAATACTTAATCAGAAATAAACTATATAGCAAAGCCCAATGAGTCTGCTTTAATAGTTTAAGAAACTTCCCAAGTTTAGGAAGAATTAGAATATTAAATAACTGAAATAGAACAATCATAAGAACAAGAAATCACTGTATTTCCAGATGGATTTATTGACAATCCATTTACTATTGATCTGTGGCATTTGATATTTTATGAAAAGCTCCATTGTTCGGATATTTTTTTCCAGAAAATTATGCTAAGATCATGGGCTCCTGTTATGATAAAATCTTCTTTGTTATTAAAGATTAAACAACTAATTGAACGCTTATGGCCTTTTAACTTTTAAATAAATTTCGGCTTTGACATCAAGTTAAATGACCAAATTTTAATTGATGCGAAACCATCATTTGCAACAAAGTTTTATCTTATCTCTTAAAATTTAATAATTGGGGTATATTTTAGACCTTAACTTAGAGATTAATAAAATTTTATCTATTTACCATTAAAAAATGCTATTTTTAAAAAACATTTAGTTGCTACTAAAAGCAGATTTTATTAATTATTTAAAGCCATTGTAAGACACCCTTATATTTCTTAAGTGGCAAATACTTCATATGATAAATATTTAAAGTCATTCTTGTTCTAATCTTAATTCATAAAAAATAATTAAGCAAAAACATAAAAGTAAAACATTTATAAAATAAATCAAAAGTCATTTCATCTCTCTTTTATTCCTTCGTATTAATACAATTAAAATTATTTCCAATCGATTATTGTATTTAGATATGTTCAATTAATATTTTATTATATTTGAATATTGAATTTGTTTACAATATTTTTTGAACTATATTTTTACAACCGTCTATATAAAATTATGGAATCCCTCAACATTACTTTAAAGAGAATAAGAAATTTTTTATTTAATTTTATCTAAATATGTCTTTGTTTGATAAATGAATGAAGAATTACTAATGATTTTAATAAAAATAGTATTTTAGTTTTTTTTTTAATCATATAATTATTCATTTATTCATAAATTTTCTTAATTTTAACTATTGATTTTGATCTCCTCTATTTAAATTACCTTTTTGAAATTGCCTTTAAATTTTCATCTAGCTTTATTTTAACTTATAACTGTGATTGAATTTAATGTAATTGAAGAATGACATATTTTAGTTTGCAAAATATTTTGAACATTTCTGAAATCATTTATTTTTTGTAAAGTAATGGATTAATTCAAAAAAAGAAATAAATTGGATCTGACATTGATTTTAAAAAAATTTTTTTAAGTTTTTAGTTATTATTATGTTTATTTCATAATTATATTTTACTTTAATCAATAATTATTATTTAGATTTTAATTAATTTAATTTATGAAATCCAAAAGAAGCAAAAGTAACGATTAAGTTTAAAAATAAGTCAAATGTAGCAAGTTTATTTATAATTATAGTAGTTGAATAATAGACATGGTAAGAAGGAAAATAAGAAGAAATAGGAGTTTAGTATATAGATAATAATCTAAGATCAATAAAATTTTTTGTGGAATATACAAAAGACAAATAAATAAAATATATTGTGGATGGAAATATATTAAGAGAGTAATTCTTAATTTAATAAATAAATTAGATAATAAATCATTGATACAACAGTTTAGCCTGAGATTATGAGAAACCTAGAATAAGTTAAATATCTTAGATGGGAAGGAGAGTTTGGAAAGAATAAACAGAAAATTAAAAAATGGAATGCTTTTTGGAGAGAATCTAATTTAAATGTTGGAGGAATGTATAATGAAAACGGTTAAAAATAAGGAAAATGGATAGATTTATTTCCAAATTTCTTTGAGTAAATTTTTCATTTATTTATTTAAATAAGCTTATCTAAGGTTACTATTTAAGGAATGTATAAATAAGGTTTAAAATAAGGAGAATGGGTTTATTATTTTGAAAATTAACAAATGTAAATTTTAAAACTTAATTATAGAGCTAATGGAATTTATAATGAAAATGGATAAAAAAATGGAACTTGGGTTGAACTTTGTGATTATTATAGTAGGTTAAAATATATTAATTGTTAGAGATAATGTTTTAACTTATAGAGGAAAATATAACAATGGGGTAAAATTTGGTAAATGGGATACTTATTTTTAATCTGATTTTGCTGATTAAAAATAATTGATGTAAGTTTATCAATTTATATTGATAGTGGTGGAGGAGAGTATAATAAATAAGGAGAAAAAAATGGGAATTGGATTGAAATACATGAAAAGGATTTTAGGTTTTTGATGTATGATAACAATTAGTATATGCGACATTTATTATTTGGGAGAATATAAAAATGGCAAGAAATAAGGAAAGTGGGACACTTAATTTAGTTATATGAGTGTTGATAGAGAATATTAAATTATGTAATATGAATACAAACTTAATCTTAGAGGAGGAGGCTCATATGATGAAAATGAATTAAAAACAGGATAATGGATAGAATTAGATGAAAATTTTAAAGAGTATTAAATAGAAATTTATAAAAGCACATCCTAGATTATTTTGGAAGGGGAATATGTTTAAGGGAAAAAATAAGGAATGTGGACAATCAAATTTAGATTAAATGAAAAACATAAATTTATTATAATGTATTTATCTGCTTATTGATATTTAGAGGAGGAGGGAATTATGACATTTATGGAAGAAAAATTGGCAAATGGAAGGATACAAATGATAATTTCTTGATGTAAATTAATAATTTTATCCTTTACAATTAGATAAAATTAAATGATCGAGACTGGAGAATATGAAAATGGAAAAAGAAAAGGAAAATGGATAACAAAGTACAGGTATAAAATAAAGGACACTTTTGTTAAAATGTAATAATTATTATTATATGAAGAGGTGAAGGCAATTATGATGATTTAGAAGTTAAAAACGGAAGATGGGTAGAACCTTTTTAAAACTTTCATAGGTATTTAATTTAAAGATATTTTACTTAGTATTTGTTAGGTAACTTTGGTTGGAGATTATTTAAAAGGAAATAAAATAGGCTAATGGAAAATTTAATTAAGATATCATGAAAAAGACAGATTTAAATAAATGTTTTAATATATTTTTTATAAATTTAGTGGTGGAGGGGCTTATGATGAAAAAGGATTTAAAAATGGTTAATGGTTGGAATTGATTGATAATTTTAAGCTGTAAATTTTTTTCTAAAATCAGTTCTAATTAAGTAATTCTGTAAGGAAATTACTTAAATGGTAAGAAATTAGGCTAATGGAATATACTATATAAAAAGAATCCAAAACAAGATTTTTAAATTATGTAATACTTATTTTTTTTTAATTTTTCATAGTGCAGGGGGTCAATATAATGAAAAAGGTTTGAAAAATGGTAATTGGATCGATTTGGATTTTGGTTTTTGTTTTGGGGAATATACAGGAGTATTGAAGGGAGAGTATAAAAATGGTATTAAAATTAAAGAATTCGAAGAAGATATTATAAATAAAGCCTGATTATCATAAAACATATATTAAAAATAAAATGATAAAACAATTTTACAAGGTTTTAAATTTCAAATTATCATCATATGCATTTCTAATTCTCATTCTTATCAAAATTTTCATATTATTTAAATTCTGAATTTATTTGAAATTAATATTAATTTTATAAATTTTTATGAAATTAATTAACGCAATATTTTTTCATAATTTTGATGTTTTTTTCGATCTTTAATTTTTTAATATTTATCACAATTTAAGTAAATTAAGAGAGAAAAAAAGATTCAAAATATAAGGAACTAAAATTGAACATTTAATTTGAATTAAGAATAATAATTGATTGTATAGAAATTTATTAATTGATATGTAACTTAATCACAAATATTGAATTATTTTATTCAATCATATTAAAATGTTTTAATTTAAATATGAGCTAAGTTTTTCAAAAGTTAAAATTAACTTCATAACAAACCCTTAAATCTGAGTTAATCAAAAATTAACACGTAATTATCAAACACTTAAAATCAAATTTAAAATTAGGACATAGGCGTATTTTTTTGAATAAATCATTTCAATCCATTTGTTATGCATTCACCTAACCTCAATATCAATAGATTGAATTAAATAAGATAACTTACTAATTTTAATAATCAAAAAATTTTTTAAATATATCTTTCAAACATAAGGTACTTAATCTAAAATTGTCTAATACTATGATACTGTGAATTAAAAAATACTTATTACTCTTGCTTATTTATTTTATTTTTGACTCATATAAAAAACTATATAGAATTCTGTTTTTGGTACATTGTTTGTGATTTCTTAGTCCACTTTTGTTTAATGCAACTTACAAATAGGTTTAAATTATCATTTTAATTATAATTATGGTGAATATTATTTTCAATATTGAAGTTCACACATTTGTAAAATAATAGAAATAAATTTAAATTAATAAAATGAATTCTTCTAATGAGAACCATTTGAGCTGCCGATAATCAGTGTATCAAGAGGACCATACTATAGAAAAAGAAGTTGCCAGTAAAAACAAATAGACATGCATGATGGAGAAAATAAAAATTCAAATCAAGTTCACCTCAGATTAAAAAATCGTATATTCATAAAATGGGGCAATCTTGAGAGTGTACAATTTATTTATAACTTTATAAAATAGAATTGAATACCATGATGTCGAAGGGAAACAGGAATTATTTAATAATATGGATCAAATCCGCAATCTTTTCTGGAAAGGTTAGAATAGTTAAAACAAAAAGAAAGAAGGCAAATGGATAGCGTTTTGGAAGAAAAAACTTCTACAGAATGTTGGTGGATACTATAAAGCAGGGTTAAAGGTTGGATTATGGAAAGATCTATTCCTAAACTACTAAGGGTAAGCTATTGATTTTTACTTGAATAGTTGGGCATAAATTTTTGAGTTTGGAGAATATTCTCTTGGCTATAGGATTGGAAAATGGAATTATATTAAAAAAGATAAAACAATGTATTTATTTTATATTTAAAATTGTTTAGTGGTGGTGGGAATTATAACAATAATGGTGGAAAGTAAGGCAAATGGATCGAGCTTGATAAAGGATTTTATAGTAAGAAGAAAGTTCACTTTATTCCATATATTTTGATAAAAAATTTTATGTAAAAGGAAATCAAAATTTGAATCCACTATTGCATCCAAAAGAATAAGAAATATTCGTTTTTTTCTAAATTTCTCTATTGAATTAGTAGTAGTAGTAATTTAAATAGTTTTCAAATTCATTTGACCCTTTTTTGATACCTAAATAGTAGAAATTAATTGGCTAAAATAAATTTTATTGCTATTGTTATGATACATTTATAGCACTTCATCTTAATAATAGATAAAATTAATCATTCTCTAATTGCTCTTGATGAACAAATTTTTAATTTTTGTTATCAATTTAAATACTGTGAAAAAATTTTTTTAATATTTTAAAGGTTCTTATCAAAATAAATTTTTAATGTTTTATCTAAAATTACTATTCAAGATCCAATGCATATTTTGATAAATAATTGCCATTTACTGAACTTACTTTTTCTGTTCTTTAAATTTATTCCAAGTCCTATTAATCTTTTTTTTATCATGATAACACAATTAAACAATATTATTAATTTTACTAACCAAAATTCCAAAAAAACTTATTTTTTAGCCTATTCTTTTCAAAAATTAAAATTGTTATTAGCCTTGATTAATTTTATGTTATTTGAAATGTTTTTAATTTCCAATGCATAATTCTCTGCTATAGATTAGCTAAAGAAATTTATCAATGGATAAAAAAAGTAGGTTTGCTGATTTATTATCAGCAAAATTACTGCTATTTTCAAAATAAAGTTTGCTAAATAATAATAATCATAAATATCAGAATGGAAAATAAATAGTAAATTTCTTAATACATTTAAACATTTTATTATTTAGAAAGGACTTAATATTTTTCCTTCCATTATCATCACTGCCTTTAACCATTATATTAGTAATGAAATAATTTGATGTTTGGAGGATTTTACAACCGATTCATAGAAATGTTGTGGAATTTTTTTATTTTTTATATTAGTTCTTTATATATTTTGAATCTATATTCTACAAAAGCTTTTCGATACTAAATTAGTTTTTGTCAGATTGAGACATATGGTTCTTTTGAGAAAAAAAAAAGTTCCAAAAGTTTTTTTTATTTTTAACTTAAGGATAATTTTAAATTTACCTAAATTTAAGAGTGTAAAAATATTTTAAGGGATTAATTAATCAAAATTAATTTTTTTGGGATCTAATATATATTTGAAATAAATTTTAAATTCATTGATTCAAATAATAAGTATTTTATTTGAAAAATCAAATTAAAACAGACAGGAAAATTACCATTAGCAAAAGGACACAAATAATCAAGATCAAATCAATCCTTAAGGATTGCTTTTGATCTATATATCTGGCTAACTTAAAAAAATCCTTTACTTTAAAAGGAAATATCTATGTATTATATTTATAATAATGGAGATAGTATCAACTAATTTATCATCAATGCTTCGTAATTTGCAATCAATTGGTTCAATTAATGTCTTATGAACCTTATAATTATTCATGAATAATTCAATTATTAGTTGCGTGGATAATCTCAATATTATAAATCAATCTTTTAATTAACATATCAATATTAATTATTATTTTGATAATTCATAAAATCAATTTACTTTTTACAATTTTTTTGATTAATAAAATTATTTATAGTTTTTTTTAATTATTAATGTTATTGAGATTTGTAAATATTTAAATTATTATTTTATAATCCTATCATTATCAATTATTATAAAAATAAATAAAACTAAATTTTATTTAATTAAATTTATTTTAATTTACTTTTTCTCAACAAGTAATTTTAATAGAATTTTAATTAATTATAAGTTTATAATCTATTGAAAAAAAAAATATTATTCAAATTATAAAAATGTAGAACAAAGATCAATCCAAATAATTTATATCTTATTACCTATATGAATCTCCATAAAATCAAAATAGAATAATAAAGATCAATGTTCAATCATTCAGTTTTGATTATTTTAGAAAATATTAAATACTTTACATAGAGATATTTTGATTCATAATAACTCATGATGATGCTGAATTGGTTTTGGTCACAAATTTTTTCCTTGAAAAAAATAGTTTGCGGTTTAATCTTATTTCAAAAACAATTTTGGGCAGAATTGGATAACAAATAATTCATTTATAATGGTGAATACAATGTGAATGGTATGAAGGTCGGTAGATGGGATATTAAATCTAATACAACTGGAGAATATAAATAAATGTAAATATTAATCATTAATAATAATATTTAAATATATAGTGCAGGTGGATCATACGATTAGGAAGGCAATTAAAAAAAGATTGGAATGTGGATTGAATTGGATGAAGAATTTGATTATTTAAAATAAGTCACTTAAAAAGGTGAATATAATATGAATGAGATGAAGGTAGGCCGATGGGATATTTTGTATTGTAATAGTAGAGAATAGGAATATCAATAAATGTAAATATTAATAATAATATTCAAAATACATAGTGGTGGGGGATCATATGATTAAGAAGGAAATTAGAAAAAAATTAGAAACTGGACAGAATTGGATGAGGAGTTTAGGAGCCTTAAATAAATCACTTATAAAGGAGAATATAATATGAATGGGATGAAGGTAGGTCGATGGGACATTATGTTTATGGATGATTATGAGAAGATATTTTAAAAAATGTAGAAATTATATAATTATTAAATCTATTTAGTGGCGGTGGATCATATGATTAAGATGGAAATTAGAAAAAGTTTGGAAAGTGGGTAGAATTGTTTGAAGGGTTTCATAGTTATTCTAAAGCCTTTTATCTTGGAGAATATAATATGAATGGGATGAAGATAGGTCGATGGGATATTATGTTTTGTGATCGCTTTAAGAATTTTTAAAAAATGTAGAAATTAGATTTTATTAGAACTAATTAGTGGCGGTGGATAATATGATTCAAATGGAAATTAGAAAAAGATTGGAAAGTGGATAGAATTGGATAAACATTTTAATAATAATCATTAAGCCACTCATAATGGTGAATATAATTTGAAAGGTTAAAAGGTAGGTATTTGGATAGAAATGATTGGCGATAGGAAGATGAAAGAAAGGAGATATCATAATTGAAAGAATGTATTTATTTTTACATTTATTATTGTGTTTTTTTACAATAATTTTAATCTAAAAACCCAATTTCAACCATCTACTCTCAGTGTTTTTCTAAGCAGCTACATATGATGTCGAATCTGTTAGACTGGGTTTGCTAATTAGAAGTTTATTTCAACAGACGTTAATTCTCCATTAGAAAATTCTTTTTTTTTTAATTATATATGTTTTATTATGAGATAAAATAGATAATATTTTTTGTAATAACATTTAAAAATAAGAAAAGTTAATTTTAAATATGAACAAAAAAAAGTCAAGCCATAGATTCAAAAATATGAACAGGTAGACTTTTCTTATAATGTGAAATTGAAAGCCTTAAAGACAAGGCTTTTTATTAAATCAAAAATGTCGATTTAAATTATAATTTGTTTAATTAACCAATGAAAATGAATTATTGTTACAAATTTAAGATTCTAGTAGATCTATGAGAATTTGATTATTTTTTTAACCCTTAAATAACTGTAAAAATTCATTTATAGAATTCAAATTCAATTTTGAAAACGAAATGTTTTTAGAATAATTAGTATTGAATATAATAGATAAACTTAAATTATTGTAATCATTCTATTTTAAAAAAAAGTTAAATAAGTTTTCAATTTTTTTTAAACTTATAATATAGTTATATTATTGATTAGGGTAAATTAGGATAAATAATTATAATGGGAATAAAAATAAAGTTTTACAATTAAGGTTTTGTTTCATTGATTTGATTCATTTTAGCAAAAATAAATGTGTACATCATGTAGAAAAGGAGTTTGTTTTGAATGTGATAATTTAAGTTAGACTATTAAAAATAATTAATTCCCACTATTTTGCAAAGTTGTTATTATTGCAGCTTTCAAGCAATGTGATGATCTGAATAATAACGAAAATGATGTTAGCCATTTATGTAAATTCAAATGTGATTAATATTGCATTGATTGCCAATAAAAATCTCTGAAAATGCAATTAGGGTCAGATTTTATCATAAGCACTAAGTCCAATTAAGCCAATTTAAGGATAAATGCTATAGGCAACTTATAAGGATCTTACATTAACAGAGATGTTAATTGAACTTAATTCAGCACAATATAATGATTTATAGTTGTTTTTTGTAATTACAAGATAAAATACCAATTGAGAATTCTATCAACAATTGTTCTGTTTCATTAGAATAGTTTACTGAGTAAATATTTATATTTCATTCTTTCAAAAGGTATAGAAATTCTTTTCCTTACGTTTAAATTGATAAGTAAAAATAGAGGAAATTGAATATGAAATTAAAATAGACATTATTATGTATAAAATAAGAATTCTTGATTAAATTTAAAATCAAATTACATAGAATTTAATGTTTTTTATTAATATTTTGATTGATTGGATAAATTACTTGTATGATTTTATTTAATGCAAATTTTACTCATATTTAAGAATGAATATTCATATCAGATGCTACAAGTCTTATAATTTTCCATTATTATATATTGTTATTGTACATTCACGAAATTTGCAGCATCTGTTTTTTGAATATACCTTCCTTATTGTCAGAACTAACAGTAAAATATTAGACTATTTATAAATATTATTCGAATTATAAGTTAAGTTCTAAGGTTAACAACTTAATTAATTAATAAACGAAAAAAAAATACAAATAAAATAATAATTATTATTAAATTATGTTATATAATGATTATAAATAGTTCCTTAAGTACAACAAAACTTGATCCTGTAAATTTATTCTGCTTATTTTAATTGAATGCTATTTTTGCTAAATCAAGATTACTAATAATTGTCTTTAAACTTATTTTTCTTAATTAAATAAAAATGCAAAGAAATAGTAAAAAAATAGAAGTTATGAGAGAGGAAATTGATTTTTATTTAATTAGGAAAATCAAAAATTTAATCAAAAACAG